CCCCAAAACCCCAAAACCCCAAAACCCCAATTTTTGACTAAAATCTATAAACTTTACTCAGAATGGAAGATAATAAAACAAGTTTCTTTGACTTCAGTGATGAAGACGCATTGGATCATACAGAAGGGAAAGCCTTTGGGATTGATAAGAAGAGACAAGACAAGATGGACTCAAAACAAGGGAGCCCTAAAGTAATTTATCAACTTATTTCTGTAGAAACCACAAGAAACCTCTCAACACAAGAACTCTTCAGAAAGAACAATCGAAGGATTCGTTGCGGAATTTCTTAAGATAAACGGAAGAAAGCCCTTCCCGAAGGAATTACAAGAGTTTAAGAGGGTGTATCAACTCTCAAAACCTGAGATTAGGATGTAATCTTAGTGATGATCCCTATAGAGGAAGAGCTGAGTTAAGAATCAAGAAAGTCAGTAAACTTAAGCCAAGACCTGATGCTGATACTGATTCAGCATTTTACAAAGTATAAGAGTAATGACCTGTTTAGAGATTCAAAGATTGGAAACCTTATGAGATATTGGCCAGCAACTTACAGAGAGCAGCAATCAAAAAATTCTTACCCCCGATATTGGCATTTCATTATTCATTGTTTTATGACCAGGAACCAGTCTCTAAGAAGAATGATCCACAAAATGATCTAGGAGAACAGGAGGACAATAAAGAATCCGAAGACTTGGAAGATATGCCTGGGTACAAAAGTAAGTAATGATGACTAAGTTTAATAAAATAGAACTCAAAGCAGTCCTGGAGAATGAGTATGATGAGCTAGAAATTATTCTCAATGATGATCAAAAGAAAAGTCTAAAGAAAGTCATGGTACACAAAAATCCAGATAGATACAAAGGTATCTTTGTGACTCATAAAATCTCATATCTCTGTAGACTTGTACCCTCAGATTGATATCTCTACAGACCCAGACCCAGAACCAGATTTCTCTTCTATAAATCCTCACTTAAAAGCGTACTCTTTTCTATTTCACCTCTTTAGCCCATCTGAAGATAGCACAGACATCAAAGCCAACCTAAGGTACATAAAGAACTTCCTCAAATTCAAAAATATCCCACAAAAGTCCACAAAGAGTCTTTCCTCTTCATTTATCGAAGAAATTATCAAAGAGGTAAATCTTCACCAATCTCTTAAGAATCCACTTCAGTTCTCTACCCCTTCTCCATTCATCCAATCTAATTACAATCTGGCTCAATTCTCCAGCCCAAACCCCACACAAAAATTCCTTATTTTCTCAAAACCCCACTTCATCCTTCAAACTTTCAAGTTCAACTAAAAATCTAATTTTTCAAATTTTCTTCGTAAAATTTCACTTTTAAGTTTGTTCTTCACTACTAAAATTTGTTCGTGAGCCAGAATGAACCTTTAAGAAGGGTAGTGATAATAGAACTAAGTTGTTAAGAATATGTAGTTAGGCTTAGTGGTTGAGGCAATTGGGGGATTAGTTGTTGTAGGTACAGGAAGAGGATGAGCAGGAGTGTGAAGAAGAGAAGGTAAGTAGGAGAAGTGAGGGTTTAGGAACAGAGCATGGATGTAGATAGTTGTGGGAGAGAGCAGATGAGGGATTTTGAAGATACAGAAAACATGGTTATCGATAACGAAACTTACTCAAAATTACACACAACAAGCCCAGATCCAAAGCCCCAACCTCCCTCTCCAACAATCCCTCCCCACATAACCGCCGAATCCCTGCAACAAACAGACCCTTACCACCCACAAATCTCAAAAATCCTTAAAAAATTGAAAACCCTAACCAACACCTAATTTCCCCTTCCTCTAAAACTCTCCATCTTCCCCAACCCCTAAAATCTGCATCCTGGCTCATCCACTTAACTTTACATTCTGGTCCCAAAAAAATTCTAAAACTTAAAATTTCAATTTCTTCGTAAATATTCGGGGTTTTGGGGTTTTGGGGTTTTGGGG